TGACAGTGCCTTCCAATCCCATTTTCCACCTCCTGAGGTGGATTCTTGAAAGGGCCAGCTTTGAAGTCCCAACTCAATCCATGTGGTTTTTGTGCCCCCTTGTGGCTCAGACAGTCATCACAGCGTGATGACATACCAGTCCACATTATATAGAGAGAAATGTGGCTGTGCATGTGAAACAGAGAAAGCAATCTACTTGACAATAAATATGTCCATTTTTGCCACGAAATGGGGAAAATGTTTATAGCTATTAAAATCATAATGCATGCATTTATAGCCAAAAAAAAAAATTTAGACAAACTGCAAAAATTCCATTTAAAGGATTTATTTTGTTGACACGCTGCATGAAATATTGGAAACACTCTACATCATTTGAATAATCTATTAAATTCTAATTGCAAGCTTCTATTTAAAGTGAATCCAAACTTCTAGCAAATCCTGTAAAGGATGCCAGTTGAAGCTGTCTTGCAACTTGGAAGGCTGTGCATTGAAAGTACATTCTGCACATATTTTGGGAGAAACCTGGAATAGCAAATGGAGCAACAGAAATGGATGGCAGGGGTTCAAAACCTATTACATGGAAAAACATAATTGAGAAATGACAACTGTCACATTGAGTATTGATTACAGGCCATGTATTATGTAAGAATGATGAAAAACAGAGGTTCTTCTGGATAAAACAAAATCAGCAGCACCTCCCAATTAGGGATACTCAAGGAAGTAAATCAATCTATATTCCAAAGGGAACTAACTTGATCAGTATAAGGCATCTTCCTATGTTCCTATACCTTGCCCTATGGGTACCTGCTACAGACAGGTACAAACAGCTCTGTACGGATGGCACCAACCCTGGGGGAGACAGGTGAATAGTGAGCATGACTGCTAACCATCTCATCAAGATTAGTCCTAAGGTCTGGGGAGCTGTTCCCTGTCACAGTAGACCTTATTAAGCCAGTTGGACCAATGGGTCTTCATCTGTGATGTGTGTGCACTGTTAAGACGCCCTTTGGATGCTAAGCACTTGGAACTCTCTACAGTTTGTCAGTCATTAGCAAATATGAGCAAGTCATCTCTGACATTTGGCTCCAAAGGGAATGGATGCTTCTGCCTGTCGGAAGCCTTTAATTAGTTAAAGCATCCAGCTGAGTGTTGGAAAGGGAGGAAAATATTATTCCAAAGGGAGATGAAAAGTGGCCTTCTTTACCAGACACTGGGAGTTGTCAACACTCCAGATTTTTGCTCTGCTCAAGAGATATTAGACAAGAATCTTTACTTAGCCTTGGGTTTCAATGGGTGATTTCAATAGGGCAGTATAAGTAAATGGTGGTCAACTGCTTGCATCATTATCACCACCAACCTCTTCATGATGTACATGTATACCATATCTTTTCTCAAAGGAGCTGAAGGCAGGACACATAGTCCTTCTTCATGTTTATCCTCACAGTGACAATGTGAGGTAGGTTAGGCAGAGAGAGTGTGAGTGATTGGCCCCTAGGAGGCCTAGTGAGCTGGGTCTGGAACAGCTGGGTCTGAAATTGGGTGGAAATTCCTTACTATCTGTGCAGAACATGCAAATGCAAAATATTGTATGATTCAATTTGTCACACATGACGTATTGCCACAATCTTCTTTTCCTGGGACAATTCCTCAGACCTATTTATGCTACAAACATCTACAGTATCTATTATTCTCTGTGTAGCAGCTTGTCCCTCTCCCCAGCTGGGTGAAGTGAGCCTCCTCCTTTTGGAGAAGTCCAAATCCAAACAGCAAACCTGGCTCCAAACTACACTTCCCCACTAGCCAGACTGGGTCTCAAAGACTGATGAATTTTGCATTCTAAAGGCTTGAGAGAGATGCCCAGCCACCAAGGGACATTAAGAACAAAATCCCTGGCTCCTCATCGATTGCCCATGTGCAGTAATCAAAACAGCCTAAATGCTAATTCAATAAGTGTAAGGTATATACAAGGTATCCCTGAGTTGCAAGACTGCTGGTGACTGCATATACAATGGCCACTGAGAGATGGGTCAAGGTTTGTAGGGCTCTGTTGATCTTCATCAAAGTCAGGCTTCCTCAACCTTGGCCCTCCAGATGTTTTTGGCTACAACTCCCATGATCCCTAGCTAGCAGGACCAGTGGTCAGGGATGATGGGAATTGTAGTTTCAAAACATCTGGAAGCCTGATCAAAGTTCTCCATGATGAATGGAAGTGTTTTCCTATGTACAAAGCTACTTGCTCTTAGGATCACAGTTCCTGGGTTGGGACTGATAGGAATCATAGTCCAACAACAATTGGAGGGTACCACATTATCCCCTCCTGTACCAGTAGATCTCTGGGTGGTCTGCAGTAGTTTGGCAAAAGTTTGTGATTGCCAGTTTAACAACGGCACTAACAGAAGTACTTGTTTCACTCAAGTTAGGCTGCTGAAATGAAGAAAGGGCTGGACTTTTGTGTGAAAGAACTAGTGAGCTCAGCTCTGGGAAATGGAAACAAATTCCTAGTCTCAGAATGTGCCTGTTCTTCAGTTCAAAGTCTGTATCTTTAGCAGCTAGCACCGTTTGCCACATCTTCAGCTTCTACTGAAAGAAAAAGGGAGAATATTTAGTGTGGTGCCCTCCAGATGTTTTGGACTACAACTCCCATAATCCTTGCTGGGTGGGGCTGATGAGAGTTGCCGTCCAAAACAGCTGGAGGGCACCAGGTTGGGGAAGATGACCTGACAGGATCACAAGGCCCCTGGCTATGTATTCTGTAACTTCCAGAATATATGTATATGTATATGTATATGTATATGTATATGTATATGTATATGTATATGTATATGTATATGTATATGTATATGTATATCTGCATAAGAACAACACCTGCAAGATAAATTGAGCTGGGAGAAATGTGCTTGAGGAAGCGTCTTCCTCCCAGCCACCCCCTCCACCTCCTTCCCCAATGCATCCCTTGCAGGCAGCCCCCATCCCTAGGTGGGGGGTGGGGTGCGATCTGGCGACCCCCTTCCCTCGTCCCTCCTCCGGGGAGTGTGGCAGGCGGGGGTGGGGTTTCGCCTGCCCGCTCCTCGCCCGGGAGCCGCCGTCGGCGGGGTGATGTAGCCTGTGTGGGAGGGAATACCCCCGGCTCCAGCATGAAGGCTCCTGTAAAAGATGTGTGAGCAGGCAGCGCGCTACTGCCGGGAGAGCGTCCACAAGCTCCTCCGCAAACAGCAGCCGCAGATCGGGGGGCTGGACGGGCTGCTCCGCTGGATAGTCACCAAGATGAGCGACAAGAGCATCCTGCCCGACCGGGAGCTCCTGCAGGAAGGCCAGGCGGCCGCCGGGCAGGACGGCTGCTTCCCCGAGCAGCGGAAAGGCGCTTCCGTGATCCTGGATGTGAGTTTCCTTCTCGGAGCCGAGAGCTGCAGCCCAGACCCGGGCGGGCGGGTGGCGGGAGACCAGGCAGGCAGGCAAGCAAGCAGGGGAAGAGGCGCCCTCGCCCTCCGCCTCGCCCGCAACTGCCCAACAAACCTGGACCTTTTCTCCCCCTCTTCACCTGCCAGAGAAAAAAAGAGATTGATTTCTACTGAAAGGCGCCCTGGTCTTCTTTATGTGGCCAGGCGCCTTGCAGCACGCGAGGTTGGAGGCTCGCAAGTGACCTGGCGAATGGCGTCCCCTTCGCTGCTCTTGCGCGAGGCTCTAGTAGAACCTCCAGGTGCGGGCGCAGTCTACCTTTGCAAAAGCCCAAATCCTTTCATTTCCCCCCGGTTTTTTGGCGGGGGGCAAACGGCAAAGGAGGGCTGTGACTTCTCTGCTTGCCAATGAGGGTGTGATCTCTCTCCCCCTCCCCCGCTGAATTCCCTAGCAGGTGGTTTTTTTTGTCTCATTGGGTTTAAAATGGGTATATCCCTCCCCACTCCAAACTATATGGGGGAGGGAAGGCAGTTTTGGGTCTGACTCTGGAGGAAACCTGAATTGTGTGGGGGGGGGGTGCGCATCAAGATTTAAGTCAAGAAGGGGTTTTATTCTGTTCTTCTTAGAGCAAAGGCTTCCAGGTGGGATAGACCGAAGTCCTGAACGGGTGTCCCCTGAGCTAGTGCAGACCGTTTTCCCTGCGCCACTGAAGGGTAGCCAACTTTCCCCCTCTCCAGGAGGGCTCCAGGCTGGGATTTTGCAAAGGAAATCATCGCTTTCATCTTCTCCGTGCGGTGGGAGCCTTTCCTAATAAGTGTTTTTGCCTTCCAGGCAGCTGTTAAAAGCAGAGGATCTCTGTCAAGAGGGGGGAAGTTAGCAACCCCAGAGGAAGCGCTTTCAAGGCTGCCCTCATTTAGGCAGGGCTGTGCCGTGGGATCTCTCCCTGGAAGGGCAGGGCAGACGACTCTTGCAGGGTCCCAGTAAGAGACCCGGGCTTGGTTGTTCTCCTGGCATAGCTTTCCCAAGAGAATAAATTCCCCTTAAAAGCAGCCCAGGGGAAAGGCAGTGCAGCCCACTCCAGTTAATGGGCACAGGAAGCCATTTACCCCCCTCAAAGAGGGACAGGCTGGCATAGGAGTTGCAATTGCTCTCTGAATTTCACACATACAAACACAATACAAAGTAATTAAGCTGGGGAGCTTTGAGAGATTCCAGTTATGGAAGATGAGGACAGAGGAAAATGTCATACTAACACTTTGTGTTTTATGTCACATCGTGGAGTCTTCGCTGCACTTTGTAGCACTTTCACCTACATTATCTCAGTAATTCTTACAACAGCCCTGCAAGGTAGGCTGGCCTCAGATTTTCCCTCATTGCAGGGCTAGAAAATTTTACATCCATGTTGGATGAGCAGACATCGCAGGGAGAAGAGGGGTTTGGAAGAATGAGATTGGTTTGGTTGTGATTGTTATTCCCCTGACCTGGAGAAGAGAAGCGTACACCTCCCTCTTTTCAATGCTTGCCATGACTTCTGTGGCAAATGGATGCAGAAGTCTGAGTATAGGGTTTATCTTATTACGGCAAAGCAATGGTATGCAACAGAGAGGATTGTAGCTTAGTGGCAGAGCATCTGCCTTGCGTGCAGAAGTTCCCGGGTTCAAACCCTGGCGTCTCCAGGTAGGTCTGGGAAAGACTGCTGCCTGAAACCGTGGATTGCCACTTCCAGTCAGTGCAGACAACACTGAGCTAGATAGATTGATGTCTGATTCGGTATAAGGCAGCTTCCTGTGATCCTTTGCATAAGTGGGGATCTCCGCAGCATGCCCACAATTGAGAAGGGCATATGATGGGTATACAAGATTTGTTGAAACTTATCTAAATATGTAGCTTATGTGTGTCACCTCAGTGAATGGGTTTGAAGACTCATATTACCAAATGGGCAGTCCCATTTGGAAAAAGACAAGAATTGATGTTTTCTATTATTTAATCTTAACAATATGCAAGGTAGATAGGTGCTGATGCTGGCAGTTATAAATGCTGGTTGGTGCTGTTTTCTCTTCCCATCAGCTAAAAAGTTCAATCATCTTTCTGAGAATTCTGAAACAAAATTAGCTCTCTCCTGCCAGAATTCCCCTTCCCCAAAGGGGGATTGAACCTCAAACTCCTGACATGAGAAAATAACATTAAATTCTGGGGATGAACATGAATGCCTAACTTCCCTGATGCTCTACCATAACTACCATTCGGTAGCAAATTGCTTACAAATTAATAGTATTTGTCACACACACCCCTCTCACATACACACAACACAAACACTCTCCAGGACACTACACTGATGAAAAGAAGAATCAGGGGTTTGCTATAAAAAATGTTAGCAGGCTGGGGTTTTTTCCTGCTCCACGCTACTGTAGTTCTATTTTTACCTAAGTGCTGTTTTAAGCTAGTGAATCCTTGCAACTTTTAAAATCAAGGCTACCTGAAAGATGCCAAATGAAAATCTGCAGAGAGTTTTCTCGGCTTTCGCTAATGCTTAATGTAACATGATGTACCCATAATCTAAGTTCTGAATAGGGATGGAGGGGAAAATGTGATTCAGATCACATTTACCGTAACAACAAACCTACCCAATTTGCACTTTTTGAAACAATATGTGAACTCAGCCGTACTTCAAAATTTGTGTTTATCTGGATTTTGCAATGCCGTTCTCCAACCAGCTAATGAGTACAAAAATTCAGATACTAGGGTAAATTGAGCATAAAAGGCATATATCGGTAAGAATGGCATACAAAAATGAATAATGAGGAAAGTTGCTTTGCAAAAATGTGTAGATGTTGTGTATATGGAGAAATTTATACTAAGATACTGGTGAATTTGTATAAAGGTTATTTAAAAACCACATAAAGTGTTATGGAAAATGTGGAGAATGGAACTTAATATTAGAAAATGAGAAACTGAAGGAAAACTGAAATGATTCACCCACCCCTAGTTCTTAGTTAGGCTCAGAACTAGGCAAAGACAGATTGAGGGGTTAGATCTGGTCATTCCCAAGCTGTATGCCAGAGTGTGTACTAGTGAGATTGGAGAGAACCATCAGTGCACTATGAGAAAACAAATAAATTGAGTAATCAAAGGCGAGGCTCACCAGATCGCCTCCCAATCAACCTTCCGTGAAGGCAAGTAATTTTTGTGGCTTTCTGCATTGGGAAGATTGAATGATCCAATCATGGGACCCAATGCAGAGATGCACCGGAACAAATTAACAAGGAGAGTTCCCACAGTGTCTCTAAGTTATTGCTCTGCATGTGCCTCCTTGCAATTTCTCTCTCCTCCCCACCATCCCTGATATATAAGGGTAAAGGGTTCTTCCGATATTATTATTATTATTATTTAAAAAATAGTACATCTTGGGCATTGGGAAATTTGACTTAGATGGAGGAGAAAGCAGTGGTTTGCATAAAAACCACAGGGAAAAATAATTATATAACATCTCTTTCCTTTTTAAAGAGCTTTACAGAATCATATTATGAAAATGAGATATTAATAGTGCCAGCTGGAATTGATAGTTAATGTACCGAGTGTAAATTTAACTCTCCTAAAATTTGTTAATATACTTGACACTTTAATAGCAATATCCTCCCCCCATTTTTTTAAAGGGGGGAATATTATTGGTGAGTGAATCATGCTGGCTCATTTAACACTGTTGTCCATCAAGCAACCCCTCTCACAACAACTGATTCATCTGTACTACATTAAGGCAGGCCTAATTAGTGAATACATTTATATCTTCCTCCATGCTACTTGGAATGAAAAACTGGTAGCGCAAAATGACTTAATAACGGCTCCAAATCAAAGCCTCTTGATGAGGCAGGCTAATCCAAAATTGGTCACAATAAAACTTCTTTAAAACAACCACCACCATGTATTAATTTCTCTTCCAGGATTATAAAACACAACAACAAATGGATCCAAGTTTCCACACACAACCCTGCTGATTTTCAACCTTTCTCTCAAGTACTCCTGCGGTTATCTGTTTGGTCTGGAATACCCCTTGGGAATGCTGTTAATGTGACAGAGAAAACAAACAAGAACCAATTCATTTTGAGATTGAGGACCAATCTAGCTGTGACGTCACTTGCATGGCTGCATCATGCAATTAAAGTGAACATTTTTTAAAAATGATGTAAACAAGAGCTTGGGGGAAGCCTGATCAGCCTCCATCTTCTGGGTGTGGGGAGAAGGACTTTAATTCTATCTCTCCCTGACACTCTCCCAACAAAAAGCATCTCTCTTAATTTGAATTTCAAGGGAAGCTCTAGCCCTGCCTTTGCCATCTAGTGCCCTCTTGATGCATTAGACTACATCTCCCATCAGCCCCAGCCAACATGGCCATGCTGGCCAAGGCTGATTAGTCCAAAACATCTGGGGAGGCACCAGGTTGGTGACTGTCAGGAGCAGGCCAGCGATAAAACACCTGGTGTCAGTGAAATTAACTCTTTATTCAAAGAAACCAAAACAGTGCAGGCCTAGTGATCACAGCAACTCTTCCCAGTGGGTCTTGTCCCAATGAAGGTCCCCGTCTTCCCACCACTCTCTAAGGTTCCTCTCCTGGGTCCTTCCCCAGCAACCTGAAGCTCCTTCACCTTATCTCTCTTTGCTCCACCCTCTTCATCACTCTCCATGCTCTGGGAGACCAGGGAGGAATGCAGCTTTTCACAGCAGGAAGGGGAGACTCCCTGGTTTCTTCAGCAGCCTCTAATTTTGGACTGCCCTCTTCCTGCTCACTAAGCTCTGTTACTTCTTCAGGTTGTGACACCTCCTCCTCCCAGTCTGCTGCCTTCAGATGTCTTCTCCCTTTGACCACTCATGGTCATCCCATCACCAGTCCCCTGACTCTGAAACTTCCTCCCTTGGGGGTTCTCCAGCTGCTGCCTCCCACCTCTCCTCTGCATCCAGCCAGTCCATAACATCAATGGCTGTTCTAGCTTTGAAATGCAAATGGATTTGCAGATTTTGAAATAATGCATTCAGTGTTAGTCATACTCAAAGTAAATCCATTGAAGTAAGTGGATATGGTTAACATAGTTTTTTTAAAAAAACAAAATTTAGTGGGTCTACTCTGAGTAAGACTTAGTTGAATACAATCCAACGAATGACCCAAAACACAATCATCCTTTTACATTCACACTTCTCTGAATTTTTCAAAGCAGTTTACCTGCCAAAGTGCTGGCAAAAAAGGCATATATTAGGGTAAGTGTGCACAACAATGCACATATTAGTGAAAATAACACCCAAAAATGCATTGTATTTGGGGAAATTGTCTTACAAGAATTTGTATCTTAGGCAAAACTGCATGCAAACGTGTGTATTAGGAGATATTAGCAGTAAAATGCTGATGAAATTTTGTGATGACTTAAAAAAAACAACCCCGCAAATTGATGTGGAGATATCCTATCTCTATTCCAGATGCAGACTAAACTGGAAATAAATTGTAGAAACCTTCAAAAAGAGAACTGTTGTCAGTGGTGCAGTTAGGTAATTTTTGGCTCTGGACTTAATGTACTTACGAGGTACCCCTTTTTAGATGGTAATGGATATCATTTTGCTTACTTCCAAATGTGTCAAGTTAGTCATTCTGTGTTTGGGGTTCTTTCCTGCCCATTTTGCTGACATCTGCCCCAAGGTCTTTCCTGATTACACCACTGGCAGTCATATAAAACAGGGTGGACAATACAGTGTTTGCTGTGTGTTGTTTGCTATACTTTTAACTGAGCATCTTTTAACTGAGCCGCATGCAGAGTCTTGGTTCCTCTAGTCTTGATATGTAACTTTGATACTATGGATTCCCTGTTCCTTGTGTTTTGGCTTCTTGATTACTGAACGATAACCAGTTTCAATTATGAGCTTGTAGTCCGCAGTCTGAAAACAGAGCTCATGGGTGTGATCTGACTTCTCTCATGTTGATCAGCCTCCAAAATGAGTTGTGATGCTAAAGTTGATAGCTGCCTTGGCTTGCCCTTCGTGCTTCCTTCGAGCCCTCATTAATAAAGCATTTGTTGTGTAATGTTCTATCGATTTGCCGTTCTGGCCTAATTTCCCCCTTCTGGCTTGCTGCTTCCGCCTTAACTCCTGTAGAAGTTAATTATGATTTTCCTTCAAATTACCTCCTAATTTGTCTGGGATTTCTATTATTTCCCATACTTGACAAGCTATTCCATTATTGCCAAGATTCCACTTGCTTTGCCCAGCATTTAAGATTAGCTTATTCACATTTTGATTCTAGGTCTTACAGGTTGGGGGGGGGCGTTCATGAAAAACAAACCAGTCTGCTCTGCTTTTGGGAGACATAATATGGCTCAGATGTGTTGGCGATGGACTGAACTGCAAGCACAACATGGGGTTATTAACCAACTCTCTCCATATCTATTTAAAATGGCTCAGTTTCAGAGACTGTCAAGCAGATAATTTCATTGAAGGATGCAGTTCCAATAACTGTCCCATACAGTGTAATTAAAAGGTCAGTTTCAGGTCGGTGTCATTGACATCCAGCCATATCACTGCTAATTTGACTTCATTGATGTCATCTTTTGCAAAAGAAGCTATATTTTCCATAGGTGGTTATTATACTGCTTTGATCCTGGAATGATTAAAAAAATTAAGAAAGGACCAAAGGAAGCACATAACATGGAAGATCTGTGCATATAATCTCTCACATTTATGTTAAATGTTAATAGAAGCACCCACCTACTTTAAACGGCCTTGGTCCAGTATACCTGAAGGAGCGTCTCCACCCCCATCGTTCTGCCCAGACACTGAGGTCCAGCGCTGAGGGCCTTCTGGCAGTTCCCTCGCTGCGAGAAGCCAAGTTACAGGGAACCAGACAGAGGGCCTTCTCGGTAGTGGCACCTGCCCTGTGGAACGCCCTCCCACCAGATGTCAAAGAGAAAAACAACTACCAGACTTTTAGAAGACATCTGAAGGCAGCCCTGTTTAGGGAAGCTGTTAATGTTTAATAGACTATTGTATTTTAAAATTCTGTTGGAAGCCCCCCAAAGTGGCTGGGGAAACCCAGCCAGATGGGCGGGGTATAAATAATATATTATTATTATTATTATTATTATTATTATTATTATGCAGATCTGCCCCACAGCACTGAGGGGGTGGGGGAAATTTAACCCTTTCCTCTATGGTGCTTTCCCCCACTGAAATCACACACACACACACCCCAAACTGCTATTTGCCCCATTGGAGGGGAAATATATGAGTGTCTAGATGTGTGTGTCTGATGGGGAAGGACAGCAGCTTCATGATAGCACATGTACTTTGCACACAGGTAGTCCCAGGCTCAATACCTGGCATCTCCAGGAAGGGCTGGGAATGTCCCCTGCCTGAAATCCAGAAGAGTTGCTGCCAGCCCGTGCAGACAGTACTGAGCTAGATGGACCAGTGGTCTGACTCAGCATACAACAGCTTCCTAACCATTTTCTTTTTTCTTTTTAAAATAAATTTATTTGGTTTTTCAGATAAAAAATTTACAGTCACATGTCCAACATACAACATAAAAACAAGATTCCAAGGAATCTTTTGGACTTCCCTTCTCCCCTTTGTGGGTCCTATTGTTAATCATTTCCTCCTGCTTCTTTTATAATAATCCAAATCTTTTATCTCTCCATTGTATCCAAAAATCACCATGAAACTACAAGTGATATTCCAGTCCTACTAACGATAGTATCTGTTTACAATGGTCTTTAAGATAAGTTATACATTTCCCCCATTCCTTATTAAAATTTTGGTCTTTCTGATTTCTGGTCCTTCCGGTCATTTTAGCCATTTTGGAATAATCCATCAACTTGATCTCTTTTAAATTGCACAACTTTGGACAAGTTCTGTTGTGTTTTTTAATGTGTGCAGCACTTTTTATTATTATTATTATTATTATTATTTATTGTCAAATGTTTACTACTACTAATAATAATAATAATAATAATAAAATAAATAAATAAATAAATAAATAAGAGAGAGAGAGAATTTATAGGTTGCGTTATCATCAAGGTTTGTACCTTCTCACTGTTGTAGCCCACAGAAGCCATGGCCTTTCAGATGTTGTTGGATAGACTCCAACTCCCATCAGCCTCAGCCACCTTAGTCAGTGGCCAGAGATGATGGGAGATCTGGAGGGCCACACTCCATCCCTGTCCTAGCCCTGGCCCTGCCGGTGAAATCCAGTGAGTTTGCCCACATGGAACTGGGCACCACATCATTCACTCATTGCTTTTGCTTTCTGACCTTGGTGAAGTTACTTTGCTTGACTCTGCTGAGCAGAGCTGAGGAAGCTCCATGTTTCCCTCTGCAGAAGGGGGAGGGAAATGACTTCAGCCTGAGGGCCGCATTCTGTTGCGGAAAGCATGACATTGATAGGCTGGCCAGAGGCAAGAAATGAGTGAGGCAACAGGTACTGTACATTCTAGCTACAGAGGTTTCTACACATCCACTCGCTCACTCCATTCAAGCACATTCTAGCCAGGCAAAAGTACTTGAGATAGGCATATCCTGGGGAGAGTCTGAGGGCCACACATGACCTGCAGGTCTGTGGCTCCCTAACCCTCCATTGCAGGAATGGTGACTGAAGGAGAGTTGTTGAGCCCTTCCTGATGAAATGCTGCTTATTTGTCTGGTCTCCAGAAGTAGCCCCCCTAGCGCGCCACATTCCCTCTCTGAACAGCAAAATTAGTCCAATCAACACCAACGTGCTTTTTGCTTGGGAGGTGTTGACACCTGACAACACTGGTAGAAACTTAGATTTAGCTAACTGGTCTAAATCTGGTCTAAATCAAGATTTCCTCTTCTCCCAGGACTTTCAGAAAAGCTGCATATTTGCTCAGCTTTGCAGTTGAATTTGCTGCTGTTCTCTCCCACACGTATACATTTTTGATGTTGTTGGCCAAAAGTTCCATTTTATTATAAAGGGGTACATTTGAAATTCTCCTCGTCCAAATGCCCTCCCTGGATTTTGGAGTCCCAATTTGCTTTATCCCTTTGCAGACAGTTTGACTGAATGTGTGCGTGCGTTCGTGCATGTGTGTGTGTGCAGATGCTCTGATGCACATCTACAACATGCCTGCATGGATTAGATGTGCACAGGCCACACTACACACTACATGACCTGGTTTCTCCTATAGCCCCTGATGGATGCAGCAATGTCTTTGGGTGCCAGTTGCTGGAAACCACTGGAGGGGAGAGTGTTCTTGTGCTCAGGTCCTGCTTATGGGTTTTCCATTAGGGCATCTGGTTGGCCAGTGTGAGAACAAGATGCTAGACTAGGTCTAGCCTGATACAGCAGCAATGCTCTTTAGACTGCCGTGAACATGGCATGTCAAGAAAAAGAACTCCCCCACTGCTGTGGTGTGAGGACATTCTCCATGGTTTCTACAAAAGCCCCACAGGATCACTGGCTAAAACACTTCATTGCTGAGGACTTGCAGTAAAGGCAGGAATACAAAACGAGAAAGAAACAGTTTATTAAGTATGAAATCTGACCCACGATGGGGAGGAAGGAAGTCTATTTAATATAATAACAATTGGATATAGATAATAAGATAACATAGGTCCAAGCGCAGAAATTTGAGGACTTATGGCTATATGTTTATCAGTTATTGTGTATGTTCTTTTTAGTTTGTTTGTATTTGTAGTTTTTTAAGTGTGGTGTGCATGTGTTGTAGTAATAATCCAATAAAAAGCATGGTAAAAAAACAACAGTTCCCTGCTGCAAACATTGCAAATAATGTAGACTGGAGCAAGAACTAAAGGAAATTTGCAATTATGGGTTGCAAATGTTTAGCCCTACTCAGGGTAGACTCATTGAAAATTATGAACATCGCTAACTTAGGTCCATTAACTTCTGTGGGTCTACAAACTTAGTTGGATGTGATCCCATGTCAATATTTGGGTGATGGTGGTTTAATTTTCCTTTATTGGTTTTTCATGTAAACACTACACAGTCAAAACCCTCCCCCACATATGGGTGCAGGAGAGCAGCATTTCAGATCCCAGTGTCCATTCAATGGATGTCAGCGTTCATCTGAAATTCCTCCAGTTCTGGATTCTTTTCCTTCCTTGATGTTACTCCAAACTGCTTCCCTGTATGACCACTTGCGCAATCCATTAGTTCCTACATTGAGTCACTGTAATTACAGTGACTGTCTAGCATTTAGGGTCAAAATGCAAGGATGGCCAGCAAATTCAAGGATATGTTTACATTCTTTCATAACCTTTTTGGTAGTATGGTGTTAAAGTACCATTCAACTCTTAGACTGCAGTTTCAAAACTGTATGCATTTTAGCTTGTTAATGGCATGGTGAAGTACTGTATAATTTTATTTGTATTGCGTTTATTAGTGTTGGGCTCCTGCTGGGAGCATGAGAGGGATAAAAATAAAGATATAAACAGTGGAGGACTAGGACCCTGTATGACAGCCTTCACCAACCTGCTGATTTCCAGCTGTTTTGCAATACGACTCCCATCAGCCCCAGCCAGCAACTGATGGGAGTTGCAGTCCCAAACAGTGGGAGGGCACAGGGATGGAGAAGGCTGCTGTAACCACGAGCACAGTATTTACTTCAATGAAACTCTCTAGTTTTCCCTCCTCTGTTGCACATTCCATTCAATCCATCTTTCATGCAGGAAACTAGCCTTTCGGATGTGAAATTAAATTATATCTCAACACAAAACTTTATAATTCAGCTATGATTTGTAAAGCTTAGCCATGGGCTGCCCTTTCAGCAATGGACTTTCAATGGTGGATCTGCTGAAATGTGGCGTTTTATCAGTTTTCTCGCTTTTCCTTTGAAACTGACTTCACCCGGATTTGAGCATCAGTTGGAGTCTATTTCTTTGTTGAGAGACTGAAATCAAATCAAATTGACTTATCCGTGCCTGTGATAGTATTGCTCAAGCAATATTTTTTTGAATCAAACGTTTTCCAGTTCAATCCATTCCTAGAACCATTTTTATTACCGAACCATTGTTACCTTTGAATGCTTTGAGTTGTGACCTAGAAAATAGAGAATGTTGTTCTCTGGCTGAATAAAACCTTTTCTTTTCTTCTTCTTTTACAACACCCTTTTGTTCACTTCCTGGAAATAACAGCAGCTTTGTTTTGTATATGTTTAATCAAGTTTCTTCTTTGGAAGAGAATGAGTTCAGTAGAGAAAGAATTCTACTGCTGTGCCGTAGAAACATGTGACTTGCCATATGCAATTTTTGTAACCACCTAAGTCCCTCATGGTGTCTTGATGGCTTTATATTGGACTGTGCAAAATTTTCCCAGGGACAGTGGGACATAAGAGTCATTAAAACTAATTACGGCAGAGCTGCGGAAACCTTTTCACCATGGGGCTGCATTCCTGTTACCTCCGTATGGCACACCAGTTTCTACCCACAAACTCCTCTTCACCCAGGGAAGCAAGAGGTATTGTCAGGGTTCAGGAACATATTGCAGCCAGGCAAAGTGACTCAGTGTGTGAAGCTCAGTATTGTCTACACTGACAGACAGCAGCTCCCCCAGATTTCAGGCAGGGAGTCTTTCCCAGCCCTAACAAGAGATGCCAGGGATTGAACCTGGCCCCTTCTGCATGCAAAACGGATGCTCTACCAGTGAGCCAAGGCTCAGAGAGTCAGATGAGTGAGCAGTGGCAAGAGTGGTGAGGAGGAAATGCCAAGCACATTCAAGGAGGGAGTCCACTAAGAGCATATTGCTCAAGCCCCAAAAAACCTGGAGTCAGCACTGCATCACCATGATGACTGCTCCTTCCCCTGTGTCTGGCCATTCCCTGAAATGTACCAAGCGGCACCAACTCATGTTGAGTTCTTTCCTGTTGAATGTCTGCCTGCTGTATAGATGCCAAGGACACCGAACCTTTGTTGCGGGGAGGTGGTTGGGAAACACAGTCACTGTACAGGTATGCGGTTGGGTTTTCTTTTCTTAAAAAAAATAAAAGGTAACCTAAGCTTTAATTGTCAAATTGCACCAACCACTTTTCAAATCTCTCCTCCAGGTTTTGCTGCACTCGCCTCCCTTCTTTCTCCTCCCTGATTTGCAGCAAGATGTCTTCTGTTGTTATGTATTCCCCCTCTTCTCTCTGCTGCTTTTGCTTTGATCTAAATTTATCTCCTTCCCACGCAGAGTGAGCCGACGTCTCTTTCTTTACTACTGTACATTAATTATACAAGCAGTGCAAGATCATGGAAATCTGCTTGCTGACAACCTCTTTTTATGCCAGAATATCAAATATCATTCCACTGTATTTCATTGGCGATACTGCCCTTGCTTCCTGCCTTAAGGTTCTCTCTCCCCTGGGCTCAGACCTGTATTCTTATGTAAGGCTACTTCTCCCTTGCTTGCACTCTTGCTCTGTGAATGTGTTTTCCAACAAATTTGGGATGCAATGTATGTGACAGAACCCCTCCGGTGCAATTAGTTTATATTTGCTACAACTTTTGAGTTCTCCCTGATCACTCATTGCCCCTCATTTGCTTCTGCAATGCTCTGGAATGTCTGCAGTGCACCTGCTAAAAGAGCCACAAAGGCACATTGAAGGACAAATATGCCACTTAGAGCCTCAAGCTGGGATATTTTCACGCAAATAAATGTACTCACATGTAGGTGCAGCAGCACACCTTATAGGAGAGGAGGCTGGGAGCACCATGCCCAGTAACTGCCTTTTACTGTGTGAACCAGGGGAAATATACCTAGGTCCAGTTGCTGACAAATAGCAGCTGGCAGGGAGCAGAGAGAGGGGAGGACAGAGAGTTTTTATTGGGAATTTGCTGCAAGCTCCATACCTATCTGGATTGCCTGTAATATTCCCCCACTCCCTGCAGAAGTTTAAAGTAACCACGGAACAAGACCTGCACATCTGTCTCTGTGTGATTCTTTCTCTAAGTGAAAGATATATATTTGTGTTTGATTTGTAACAGCCAAGCAATTACAAAATAGTAAAACTGTGCCTTTCTTTGATTCTAGATCTTCAGACGAGCTGACAAAAATGGTAAGTCGTCTTATTGATGAGTGTGGGTGTGTGCTTGTATTCATTTGCTTGTAAAATTAAATGATATATGTCCTTTACAGGGGATTGCAGGGATTGAACCTGGAGCCTTCTGTGTGAAAAACATGTGTTCTCTCACTGTGCTAAGGACCTTCCCCTGTGGCAGGCTTGGTGGAAAAGTTTTGCTAATGCAATTCACATCTATGTGGTATTTATACATTTGCACATCTATGTTCCATACAGCTGTGCAAATGTATAAATCTTCTTCCCATATGAGTCCACTAGATTTCATAGGAGTTACCTGCTCTGTGTTACCTCCCAGGGAGAGGATGCAAATGAAGTTCCCATTACACAACTATGCTGCTGCAGGTCAGCAGGTGCTTCAGAAAGACTGAAATGTCCTTTGCAGCTACAGCTAAAACCCAAACTTTGCATCAGTGATAGTCAGCTACTATCACAGCCACAATTTTTTTCTTTGAAAAACCTGAGCCTAATTATTCTGGGTCCTTGTTAAACATACAAAGGCAATGCTATGGCAGATGGAACTCAGAATGGTTGACCTTGAGGAAGACAACATTCCATCTAAACATTTTGTTATATCCAATGAAATCACGCAACAACTTCCAGTTGTGCGACAGAACTTCCCTACTAGAACCCCTAAAATCTGCCTTGGAAGTTCCCCCAACTCTCTGAAGGAGGTTTTGGAGTGCAAGGGGCGGGGAGTGGGATGGAAAGTTCCTTTGCACAAGCAGAAGTCATTCTACTCATGGATTGACTTCATTGGGTCCCACCCGAGCTCTCTGTCATCCTGGACTATTTTAGGAGTTACCACTGTTCAGTACATAATCAGTGCTGACCAGAGGTGTGGAAGACCAGGCCGATGGTGCCAAATGCAGCCCTCCAAGCCTTATCTATCTAGTCCTCCATACCCTCCCAAGCCACTCCCCTTTCTCCAGGCCATACCCCTCCCTGGTCCGCCTTCATACTGTGGCTGGATTGGGTCCTTGAACTCTGACAATGTCTCTTGACTGGATGGAGGGTAGAGGGAGTGCCTGAGTGTATGCAGAAACTAGCCTACTGGAGAAAGGTAAACATTTACATTAATGGCCCCACCCACTTTTTGCCTCTGTCACCACCAACTGTTGGCATTTAGCCTTTGGAAAGCCACCCAGGAAGGAAGGGGGCTGAGAAAAGTCTTCAGGTACAGACAGTACTGAGCTAGATGGACCAATAGTCTAACTCTGTACATGGCAGCTTCCAGGGGGAACCAGGCTTGAAGGCTTTAATAGTGCCACTGTATTCTGCTCTGGTCAGACCTCACCTGGAGTACTGTGTCCAGTTCTGGGCACCACAGTTCAAGAAGGACACTGACAAACTGGAACGTGTCCAGAGGAGGGCAACCAAAATGGTCAAAGGTCTGGAAACAATGCCTTATGAGGAACGGCTAAGGGAGCTGGGCATGTTTAGCCTGGAGAAGAGGAGGTTAAGGGGTGATATGATAGCCATGTTCAAATACATAAAAGGATGTCACATAGAGGAGGGAGAAAGGTTGTTTTCTGCTGCATCAGAGAAGCGGACACGGAGCAATGGATCCAAACTACAAGAAAGAAGATTCCACCTAAACATTAGGAAGAACTTCCTGACAGTAAGAGCTGTTCGACAGTGGAATTTGCTGCCAAGGAGTGTGGTGGAGTCTCCTTCTTTGGAGGTCTTTAAGCAGAGGCTTGACAACCATATGTCAGGAGTGCTCTGATGGTGTTTTCTGCTTGGCAGGGGGTTGGACTCGATGGCCCTTGTGGTCTCTTCCAACTCTATGATTCTATGATTCTATTCTATGATTCTAGGTAGCAGTTGAAGTTCCTTGAAAAGAATGGAAGGAGCATACAGGATAGGTGATTCTGCACTACTTGCAAATCCATCTCCAAATTTTGAAACACTGTTCAACCCCCACACACGGGCACCTGGAGGAATAAATTGCAATTAATATATCCTCTCCTATCCATTAAAACCCATCCCACAAAATTGGCAGTGGAAGAGAGGCAGAGATTAGAGGAGATGCGTGAAGGAGGATGCCTGCATGTACCAAGCTGTTGAATCAGCCCTTGAGTTGCTATGTAGCAGCCCAGCTTGCTACTGATGGTTCAAAGGAGAGTTTTCAGAGGTACAGATGATAAAAGGAGTCATTACATCAGCTTTCCACAACTTGGTGAACTTAAGATGTTTTGAACTACAACTCCCATCAGTCCCAACCAGCCAGCTGGGACTGATGGGAGTTTTAGTCCAAAATATCTGGAGCTTGCCAGGCTGATGAAGGCTGCCTTATATAAATGCAAGTAAGAAGGAAACTTTCCCTCACTCCCTCACATTTAAAAATAAATCGCAGCTGTGTGTTTTATGGTTATATAATTGGAGAGTTGTATATTTTCTTCCACAAAATGTCTTCAGCTGCATGTAGATGTTCTTTTTATGGGGGCAGAAGGTTCTGTCTTTTGTCTGTGCTAAATTGGAAGCCGAACTCTGAAAAGCTCTGCCCACTTGAAAACTTCCATTTCCCCCACGAAGACTACAATAGCACCTATTCATTAGTTATCTGACACACAGGGGCTTGCTGTGTAGGTTACTGGTGCACAACCAATCTGTTTTGAAGACAGCATCTCCCCTCTAGGTCAAGATTGGAGAATCTCCAGCCTGTGAGTCAACTGTCCAGCCTGTGAGTCAACTGGGCTGCTATGGATCTCACTTTGGCCCATCAGGCTGTTCCTGACAAACCATATCCACCTGCCCCAGACCTGACGTGATATATGGCATCAAGTGTAAGCAGTAGTGTAGTAGCAAATTCAGAAGTACAGGGTCCCTTCATGATAGTCACAGCCATACCTGCTCACAGCCCTGCCCCCTTCGAAGCTTATACAATAATCTTATAATTATACAATATTAATTTGGGATGCATTGCAACAATCATCCCATGTGCTGCCTTTCGGCTCAATCTACTATTTTCTGTGCATGTACCTGGGCAAATGATTTGGAGTATTCCAAGATCTTCTGTTGATTTGAAGAAGTTGTGTTTTCTTGCAGTTCCACTGTGCATAATAGAACTCACACACAATTCTCTTGACACTGAAGCACCTTGTGTTTTCAGTGTTCCTAAATGCTTAGCTTTGTAGCATACAAAGCAACTCTCCCTTGGTGTTCTTCTTGCGTGATTTCCCCAGGGTGATCCTAGGAGCCAATCCTTGGTGACTGACATACTTCCTTTCACTCTGACTGCATCTAATCAGCACAAAGGATGAGCAGACTTCTCAGCGGCTAAAAAGCTCTCATTTCATGCTGATTGGGCAGCTCTAGATGCTGGAGACAGAGACCTTGCTGCAAAAATAGTAATGGGTCTTTGACCCCCTCTACCCATGACCACTACACCTCTGGCTTCAGGACAGGTACTGATGTAGTGAACTTCCAGTCCTTCATTTCCTGGAGCAAGGTGCACTCTCACTGCCCATCAGCTGAGTCTGATCAACTGATGGGCAGTGCCAGCATGCCTTGTCCCAGGAGCAGGAAATGATTTCAGTGCAAACCCCTTTCTGAACACCCCCTCCATTTTAGCAGGCTTTCAATGCAAATTTCT